CAACTCCCTCAGTAAATATGTTTTTACTGAAAACCTTCTAAGTGTCAGCAACCATGCAGGTTGCTGGGCATAAAAACATGAAGAAGGTGAAAATAAGATAAAACCTAGCCTAAATGTGGTCTTTGCTTCAGAGTAACAAAGAGAGCAAGGCAACAGACTTGGAACTCAGGTTCAACAATACAAATAGTTATTACACCGAAAGCAATTAGTCATCATTACATATTGGTACTTTGAATTTTTTAGAACACATACTAAAGAGAAACCACAGCTGAAACAGGACATTTGATGACTAAAGCCGTAAAACTCAAACCTAATTGCTAAATCCCATGCTCCCATGGCAGGAAAAATGCAGGACTCTTATGCATGTGGCCAGACCTACAGAAAAGAAAGCTAAGCTCAAACCATGTGGCACAGGACTGGGAGTGGCACCCTAGGGATCTGAATTCAAGCTCCACCTCCTTAGGACACTGCTTTTGCTCAGTTGTTTTTCTGCAAAATGCCTATAATGATTTCCTGCTCTGCAAGAAATTGTGAGCCTCAATTTCTCAACTTTGAATCTTTCAGAATAGCAATAATTCAGAGGAAATTATAGAAGTAGGTGCAAATGAACATCGTCGTGGAATGAAGCCAGCCCAGGTGAGCCAGCTCAGGTGACTTGCCTGCTCCTGATTTTTTCACCAGTTCATTGCCTAAGTCCTTCATGTGTCCATACAGGTTATGTATTTAATTACACATTGAGGCTTTCATTTCCCATCATCCCAACTGGATTTACAATCAAACAGAAAATTATGAAAATAGATTCCTTAAAACTTAAAAGAGTCATTCTAAAACAGGAAATTATTTTTCAAAGACGAAGTAAAGGTTTTGATGTAGAGTAAATTGAATTATTCACTGTCAAGAAAAGTGCCTGATGATGCTACACTTGTGATTTACAGAGAGAGAAGTAGCAGGGGCAGCTCTCAGTAACCCATTTAAATAACTAAACAGAAGTCCCTGATTCCAAGATGTGACAATTACCTCCATCTATGATTCCTAAAACATCATATGAAACTATGTAGTTCAAAGAATTGTCCCTGTATTTTTAAACAATGATGCATACAGTATATGCAGGCCATTAATATAACATATCAGCCAGCAGTGTTTAAATTATCCCATAAATGTTTGGGGGTTTTAAATATATATGTATAAAGTATTTATTTATAGATCTAAAAGTATCAACTATTACTGCTTTGCCCTAATTTATGTTCCCCACGAGCTGGCCAACTACAAACTTTTAAAAAGGAATTTGGTTTAAAAGATTTTGTCTGTTTGGCACTGAGTAAGAGTGTTAGTCATTTCTGAGCTCACTTTTTTCCTTCTTCTGTTTATAATATTCTTAGGGAACTTCAAAACAGAAACCTGTTCCCTCATAGATCTGCTTCCTCTGGGGGACTGTGTAGATTAATTTGTCACTGGAAAGTTAACTGTAAGTGTTCAGTTGATAGCACCAATCATTCTATTTAATTTTTTCTTTTAGGAAAAGAAATAAACAGCAACAATGTGTTGAGGCTTTTCTGTTTTGATGGGAGAAGTGGAAAAATTTGTTGAGAAACACTGATATAACTAAAAAAAGTTAGAAAAATATATAAAGCCATTACATTTTAAAATAAGGGAAATCACCATCATTGGGAACGAAATGCATTGAAAAATCAGGTGAATAACATGTATGCCCCAATGACAGGAGTATTGTAAATTCTAATTCACTATATAGCACCTTAAAAATTGAAAGCATTTTTTTCCTTCCTACATAAATGTTTTTCAAGGGTGAATTTGTGCAAGTAAGGTCACCTCAGATTTGGGCTGATCACGTATCTTAAACCTGAATTCCAATCTGGTTTGCAAAATACTAGACACACATTATTTATCCACACCCTTACTCTTCCATCTTGAAACCTGTTATTTGTCTACTAGCATCTGCTTTGAGCCTATTAAATGAAGGGTCTCTAGACAAACAATGTTGCCCAACCTTAGCAACTCCAGTAATTTTCATGTTTTATGCACAACTTAAGGTTTCTACCACCTGTCAGGAGATATTAGCAAAAAAGACACGTGGAGGGAAAGTTGGGCTACTTTTTCCTTCTTATCTTGAATCTTCCATCAAATCCAATCTGAATAAATACACTGAAACCCAACTGAAAAACCTTAAAAATTGTCCTTCATGGAAGATAACGGAAAATAATAATCACAAGGTCCATTTAGAGAAATTATAAAAATAAGTTGGAAGCATTACTAATTTTAAAATGTTTTTCTTATAAATTTATGGAATAAATAAAATAGATGCATATATATTTTACAATATCTAGATCATACTGTTTATACTACTTTAAATATATCTTTTTTATTGAATTCAGAGAGGAAGGGAGAAAGAGAGAGAGAAAGAGAGAGAGAAACATCAGTGATGAGAGAGTCATTGATCGGCTGCCTCCTGCATGACCCTTGCTGGGGATCAAGCCCACAATCCCAGCATGTGCCCTGACTGGGAACCAAACCTCCACCTCTAGGATCCTAGGTCGATGCTCAACCACTGAGCCATGCCAGGCTGGGCTATACTACTTTATATCCTTTGGCCTTGCCAGAGGCTAGTTCCTCTATCTGAGACCCTTGCCCACATCTGCACGTGGCTAAAGGCTTCCCTCCTCGTCTTTGCTCCAAAGCCACCTTCACAATGAGGCTTACTTTGGATTATTGCATTTTCAACCGCAATTCACCCCATCCCAGAACCTTTTTTTTTTCTTTTTTTGGCTATAGGGCTGTAGCATTTATCATTTTCCAACAGGCTATATAATTAATTATTTATTAAGCTTGTTATTTATTTCCTGCCTCCTCACCCCAACCCACTGGAATATAACTTCTTTGAGGGCATATAAATTCTATTTTGCCCACTGATGACAGTGCCTGGTGCGTACTAAGTACTTAACAAATTATTTGTTGTATTAATTAACTACAAATTCTCTCTACATTGTATTATATTTTCCATGTCTCTAAAGATTCTTCCACAATGCCATGCTTAATTGCTTGCATAATAGTCTTTCACTTTGGTATGGCATAGTTTATTTAATCATTCTCAAATATTGAACATTTAGAATGTTTCCAGCATTTGCTATTATAAGTCATACTCTGATAAATATACTTGTGCATAAGTACATGTACCTTCTATTATCTCCTTAGGATTTATCACTAGGAACAGAGCTCCTACCAGGCAGCTATATACATCTTTAGAGCTCTTGATGTATATCATCAACTCACTACCAAAGCTTTAAACCAATTGATAGTACCATTAGCAGCCTAAGTGCCTGTAACTACATCTTCACCGGTATCAAAATTGCCTTGAAAATACCATCTTTAAACATTTTTGTGCGAACTCTGAACATCTGGTCTTCAACTCAGATATGCTTTTAAAATCTGGTTAAAGTTCTTCCCAACTGCAGACCCATTCATTCTCACAGCACCGCCAGCCACAATGAGCACTGAATTTTCTCAAGGGTTCGCCTAACCTAACGCTAAAGTCAGCCCTGCTGTATTCTAACACCAAGACGCCTGTTTTTAGTTCCCACCCACTGACTGTAATCCCAGCTACCTGGCACTGCACTGCGCTGACAGGGTCTATGGTACAATCCCTTCAGTCTTTAGTGAGGCTCAAATTAGAAACCAGGAACTAGATTTCTGAGAATTTAGTCACAAAACTTACACTTCTACACTTGCGAGACAAATCGTGGGAAAATGTTAGGTTCAAATTGGCAGGGAGCGATCAGTTTCTTCCTTTTTCCATGACTACATACTGCAACACATTTATAATCACTTTTTATATATCTCCTCTCTACAGGGAAGGGGAAAAAAAGGCCCTTTAGTACTGCATTTGGCACTTAACTGACATTATTTCAACTTCACAGTCTTATGGGGGAGGTACAATTATTATGTCCATTTCATAGATACGGGAACTGAAGCTTGGGATTAAGGAACTCTCGGAGGTCACATGGCCAGTAAACAGCAAGGCCAGGATTCAAGCACAGCCTCAAAGCCTGTGATTTTTTTTTTCCTTACACTACTCTACCCGATTACAGATGCCATTTGTTTGGGAGAATTCTGCACCAGGGTTCTTACCTGAAGGCCTTTGTGTAACTGCCGCAGAGTTGTGCCATGAGGAAATGTGTTTCCTATACCTGCCCACCTCTTGGGTAGCCAATATTTTTTAACTGCTAAGGTATTGACTTCCAAAATGCTATCTAGCATGGCTGAATTCGTAACCCCTACAGAAGGTATTTGAGAATGAAAGAATTAAGACTCAAATAATGGCACCAGGATGGTGAACTACAGGAAACAAGGATGGAGTTTTGGAGAGAGTCGCCACTGCCTTTTGCTATGTAAGCCCTGCATACAGGAGAGAGGGCTGGAGCAGAAGAGAGGCAAGAGCTGGTGAAATCCAAGGGAAGGGAGACCATTCCCAGTGTTTGTCCTCTCTGTTCTAGAAGCCTGTTATCTAGAGAAGTGTTTCCCCAGCTGCCTCCAGAACTGAGTTCCAGCTGTATGCATCAACTTGGCCACACTGAATGGTCAAGTTCTGAGAAACTTTCCAACCAGCTAAAAGTAACCTCTACCCAAGTCCCTACCCTCCAAGTGTCCCCACCACACCTCAGATACAATGTCACACCTGGCACAGCAGCAGGCCTCCAGGATCCTACCCCAGTGTCAGGAGTGACAACCATTCTCATCACCAATGGCCACGCTGCAGGGCTCCTTGAATATCACTCTAAGGGCCTTTCATCAAATATCCAAGGAGGGCTTCTCACCTCTCTAGTCAGCTTATGAAGACAAAGGTGAGAGTAAGGGCTGAGCAAGACCCTTACCCAATTCAAGAAGGAGTCCCAACTGTAACCTCCATAATGCAGGAGGGACCAAGCCAAGGGGATGACAGGATTCTATCATCAAGAGTAAAATCAAAAGAACAGAACCATACTGAGAACCTGTTAAACCACATCTTCGGGCAGGTGCAGCTCCCAAGTCAGGTTCGAGAGAACTGAAATCCCTCCTTGTGAACCAGCCGAGCTGCTTCCTTCTCTGGACAAGACTGCGCTTCTCGGGCAGGTCGGCCTCACCGAAGAGAAACACGCTGCTGCCCGGAACATGCAGGACCAGGTCCTCAGCAAGGCCTGTGGGCAGCGGGAGATTTTAACAAAATTAAAATTGGGCCCAGTGAAAGAAAATAAAACATATAATTTTTTTATTGTGGTAAAATATATTTAACACAAAATGTACCATTTTAACCATTTCTAAGGGTAAAATTCAGTGTCATTAAGTGCAGTCCCATCACTGTGTAACCATCACCACTAAAGCATGTAATTCATACTTCATTTTAAAAATCAAAGTTTGAGCATTATTTTCCAGTGAAGAGTCTCATAATAGTTTGATTTTGTACAAGGACGCTAGAATTTCTAAGCCATCACAAATCTAATTTCACAAGAGAAATTCATCACTGAGATTAATGAAATTGGTCCCTTCAGTTTTTGAACAATTTTATAATAACCCCAAATTATGAATATTGTTAGGAGAGGTAAAAAGAGTACAAGGGCCAGATCTACACTGTCTGATATGGTAACCCCTACCTATATGTGCTATTAAGTTTTAATTTTAATCAATTAAAATGAAATATAATTAAAAATTGAGTATTTCAGCTGCACAACCCACATGTCAAGGGCTCGGGAACCACGCACAGCCAGTGGTCCCCTTATTGGACAGCACAGATGTAGACCATTTCCAGTCTCCTTATTGGACAGCACAGCATAGAACATTTCCACCATCACAGAAAGTTCTGTTGGACAGTGCCGCGCCAGATGTTCTGTAAAGAAGCCTAATATTTAAGCATAACTTTATGGAGGCGACTCTGAATGACATTTTCGCACCCTCTTTGTCCATTCTTTATATATAGGCTCTGTCTCTGACCTTATCTCCTCAAAGCAGATCACCAAATTGCTACCTTGTTTATGCTAGAGAACTGCTTCAGAGAACCTCTGTTTACAGCCCACAGCACATTTTTATGGGGCTAATTTCAGTCTCCTGTAAGCAAGGACAGACAGAGCATAAATTCTTGCCTGATGTATAAAGTTTAGGTATTTAGGGAATTTTGGTAGTGGCCTGGGACAGCAGGGATGTGGGCCTTCTTTACTGGAACATCAGAGGCTGAGACAGGGCCTCTAGCCACATAAGCACAGGAAACCTTCAAATGCAATTCTAGGGTTTGTTATTTGTTTCTAATGTAGACTGTCATGTTGATGGGAGGGGTGAAATGTGGAGGCTACTAAAAAATATTTTTTATATTTCTGGGTTGTATGAAGTCTTGGGAAATGTTCTGAGTCAGGTAGGGACTCCAGCATTAGAAGCCTGTGATGTCGTAGACCAAGAAGCCAAGAAAATCACCAGTATTTACTAAGTGATCTCTGCTGCTTTAATACTACTCTAAGATACTAAAAGGACCGCTGCACCTGAGCGGGGGCAGGGTGGGGGGGAAGATGCCAGGATACATACAGTCAACTGAGGTTTCAGAATTGTAAAACAATGTTCAGGCAGTTAGCTAAATTCTCAAATCTAGAATGGCAGAGGGTGGGAGTGGCAGAAGAAAGAGGAGAATATTTTGGGGAGTTGTCAGATGTTAAGATGTCTTAACATCCCAACTCTCCCAAATGTTCGGATCACTGATATCTGCTCCAACCATAACTTAGAGTGACTCACACTTTGGCTGCTACAGCCTAAAACACACACTGGGATGCCCAAAGCCTCTCCTGCTAGGTAGAGTACTGTATTTTCTGGCTCTGCCCAGTTCTTTGCCTATCCAGGCCAGCATCTCATTTGACCATAGTTTTAGAGGACAGTGTATGTTTATAAAGCCCAAAATGCTTCAAAGGAGTGTTCTCAGAGCCTGGTTCCTAAAGGTCAGAGCCGTGGGAGATATTTGCAGTAGCAACCACCAGCTGTCAGCAAC